CATAACTAACATTGTTGTGATCGTCTTCCAGGATACAACGTGTGCATCTTTGCGTACGGTCAGACGGGGGGAGGGAAGAGCTACACCATGATGGGCAAGCAGGAGCCTGGACAGGAAGGGATTATACCACAGGTACACGATGAGATTCATTGATGCGTCTGTGTCCAGGTGTTCTGCTGAACCTCATTTAATAAATGTAGGAGATAGAAGAATAGAGACTTTCCTGATCAATGAGCCTCTGTGTGTTCAGCTGTGTGAGGACTTGTTCCAGAGAACAGGAGAGAACTCTGATCCAGACCTGACCTACTCTGTGGAGGTAAGACCTCGTCTCCTCCACTATATAAGTGTACATAAATGTCCATTAGACTGAGCTCTATCTCCTCCCTCCTCCAGGTGTCCTACATGGAGATCTACTGTGAGCGGGCCCGTGATCTTCTGAACCCAAAGTCTCAGGGGACCCTGAGGGTCCGGGAGCATCCCATCCTGGGCCCCTACGTGGAGGACCTGTCCAAATTGGCCGTGACCGGGTTCACCGACATCCGGGACCTGATGGACGCCGGCAACAAGGCTCGGTGGGTCCTCTTCCTCTTTCTTTGGGCTTGTTGAAAAGCATTCTGGGAACTGTAGTTCTGTGATTCATGATGATGAATCTATTGATTACAGGACGGTCGCGGCCACAAACATGAATGAGACGTCGTCCAGGTCTCACGCTGTCTTCACCATCGTCTTCACCCAGAAACGACGAGACCAGATGACCAGCCTGGACACGGAGAAGGTGTGTGTGTCGCCCATGTGGGGGACTGTTACCTTACTGTACTTGTGAGGACTCTGTGTACGTACTGTACTTGTGAGGACTCTGTGTACGTACTGTACTTGTGGGGACTGTGTTCGTGCTGTACTCGTGGGGACTCTGTGTACGTGCTGTACTCGTGGGGACTCTGTGTACGTACTGTGCTTGTGGGGACTCTGTGTACGTACTGTGCTTGTGGGGACTCTGTGTACGTACTGTGCTTGTGGGGACTCTGTGTACGTACTGTACTTGTGGGGACTGTGTTCGTGCTGTACTTGTGGGGACTCTGTGTACGTGCTGTACTCGTGGGGACTCTGTGTACGTACTGTACTTGTGGGGACCCAGTAAAACTTTATTTATACTGTGATGGTTAACGTTAAACTGTGCCTTCAGGTCAGTAAGATCAGTCTGGTGGACCTGGCTGGAAGCGAGAGGGCCGACTCCTCGGGGGCAAAGGGCACACGGCTCAAGGTCGGAGGTCACAAGTTTATCTAAATATTCTAGTTATTTGCTGCACTTCTTTCTTTAAATACTGTGCATGTTTACAGGAAGGAGCGAACATCAATAAATCTCTGACCACGCTGGGAAAAGTGATTTCTGCTTTGGCCGAAATGGTAGATAAACACACAAACACACTTCTTATATATCTATACTCTGGTGAAGTTCTATGAGAAGAGTTTCTGACACTATGAAGTAAGTTCTAGTGAAGAACGAGTCTCCTCCTCTGTGTCCTCTGCAGCAGAGCAACAAGAAGAGGAAAAGTGATTTCATTCCCTACAGAGACTCTGTTCTCACCTGGCTGCTGAAGGAAAACCTGGGTGAGTACTAGTAGAAGTAGTAGTACTGGTAGATCCAGTAAGAATATCACAACTACTTAGACTATGATCTTCAGTACAAACAGTATGAACACAGTATAAATACCTCAGTACCTGGTTTGTACTACTTTATAATGAAGGCTAATAATGTTTGAATAGTAAATAAAGTTTTAACGTGTTTTTGTTTCAGGAGGAAACTCTCGGACGGCCATGATCGCTGCTCTGAGTCCTGCTGACATCAACTATGAAGAAACACTGAGCACCCTGAGGTCAGACGTCATTTAAATACATTCGTGATATAAAGTTGTAATAACTCCACTTTTAATCCAATCCGAGTCTCTGATGTGGTTCCAGATATGCTGACCGTGCAAAACAGATCCGCTGCAACGCCATAATCAACGAGGATCCGAACGCCAAACTGATCCGAGAGCTGAAGGGAGAAGTGGAGCGACTGAGGAACCTGCTGTTCTCTCAGGGCCTCCAGGAGCTGCTGGACAACGCTGGTATAAATACACACTTTATATGTGCTAGTACACACTGAGGCTGGTATACCATATAAACTTAACTCTCTCTCTCTCTCTCTCTCTCTAAAAGTCAACAACAACAACAACGGTCCTGCTGGTGTTTCAGGTGTGTCCCCCTCCCCGCTGCAGCTGGCTCTCACAGCCAATGGGGTCACACCTCAGAATGGGTCCGCCCCCTCAGGTGGGTTCTGTAGAGGATTTTCCAAATTGTGATAACAATAAATCAAGTGTTTATTTATTCGTACACATTTTACCCGCCCTGCTTCCTCTGACTGTCTTTTTTTTGTCCTCTACAGATGCTGAGCCGGCGTCCGTCGGTGGCGTACCTACCGACGCCGACCACCTGATGGAGGAAGGAGACGAGGGAGAGGAGGGAGAGGAGGGAGAGGAGGCGGAGCCCATCAGTAAAGAGGAAGCCGCTGAGAGACTGCTGGTAAGGACCAGAGATTAGATTCACCTGACGCTCGTTGAGAAAACGGGCCGTCACACTGACGCCTCTGTGTTTGTTGGTGTCGCAGGAGACGGAGAAGATCATCGCAGAGCTGAACGAGACGTGGGAGGAGAAACTACGAAAGACAGAATCTATTCGCCTGGAGAGGTAACGACCAGGTGTAACGGCCCGGGTGTGAAGGTGTAACGGCCCCGGTGTGAAGGTGTAACGGCCCGGGTGTGAAGTAGGGGTGGGGGGAAAAATCGATACAGCATAGTATCGCGATATTTTGCGTAGCGATATTGTATCGATACACGGACGCCAAGTATCGGTCTTTTATTATATAAACCAGTTATTTTCTGGTGAGGTCAGCAAAGGTCCCGGGTCAGCGTCATTGGTAGGAAGTTGGTCAAAACAAAGAGAGACATCTGGCCTCACAACGGGGTTAAATCTGCCAACAGTAGCCAGGCTCATGGGGAGAGTGCAGCGCATAACTGTCTCTCTGCCCTTGACGTCCAGCCATCGCAAGTTATACTGAGTTATATAACTCTTATATCCTACTTATATAAGTTATATTTCATATTCTGAGTCCACACGTTTGCATTTAGTTAAGTTGGACTATGTAGTAATACAAACAGTTCAGTTTGTCAGGTTCATGCAACATTTATGACATTGTTGGTCAGTCTGTCTGCTTGACAATCATATTCTGCTGCAATAAAAATGATTGAAGTGAGATGAACAGACTGAAAAATGTATCTTATTAGATAAAACATGTTGACACAGTTTTCCTTTGGGGACATGAAAAAAAGTAATAAATCGCAATATATGTTATCGCAATACTCAGAATATCGCAGTATCGTGATAAAATCGTATCGCGGGACCTCTGGTGATTCCCACCCCTAGTGTAACGGTGGTTTTATTTCAGTGACCATGGCTGACAGGCAGCGGCTGCCGAGGCTCATGGGTATTGTAGTATTTTGGGTCATCAGGCATTAAATTAAAGAAATCGTCGAAAGAAACATTTGAAATGAGGAAAAAAACAACAACAGTTAGAACAGGAGAAAGTAACTGACCAATCAGAGCTAAGTATGTAAATGACTTATTCAACACTGAAAATACTTTAATCATCTCTCTCCCTCCCTCTCTGTCTCTCTCCCTCTCTGTCTGTCTCCCAGAGAGTCCCTGCTGGCAGAGATGGGTGTGTCCATTAAAGAAGACGGGGGGACGCTGGGCGTCTTCTCTCCTAAAGGAGTGAGTTAACCTTGACAGGATGTTTAGATATTATTGTTAATTGACGGATGTTAAATAAAGTTTTTTAATCGTGTCCTCAGACTCCTCACCTGGTCAACCTGAACGAGGACCCTCTGATGTCCGAGTGTCTCCTGTACTACATCAAGGAGGGCTTCACCAGGTGATCCATACGTTTGATCAGAGTGGATGAGGAGCAGTGTTGATTATAGATCAATAAGTCTTCATGTCTTCATGTCTCAGGGTTGGACAGCAGGACGTGGACATCAAGCTGTCGGGTCACTTCATCAAAGAGATTCACTGTGTGTTTGTGAGTGAGACCAACGAGCAGGGAGAAGGTGAGGCGGGGTCTGTCTCTCTCTCTGTCTGTCTCTCTCTGTCTCTGTCTCTCCCTTTCTGTCTCTCTCTCTCTCTCTCTCTCCCTTTCTCTCTGTCTCTCTCTCTCTCTGTCTCTGTTACCTCCACCCAGGAACAAGAATCATTGAAGCTCATATCAAGTTTCTCCACATGAGACGTGTGAGAACCAGGAACCCTTTAGAGTGTTTGTGGTGTTTGACTTTACTTCGGTTCATGAGTGAATCGTGTTGTCTTCACTCTAGAGCTCACTAAAGCTCCAGCATCTTATAAACTGCTCCAGCATCTTTATAAACTGCTCCAGCATCTTTATAAACTGCTCCAGCATCTTATAAAATGCTC